TCTTTCCCCTCATTTGGTTAGGTGCTTGGAATACTGGGTAGTGGGTAGCTATTTCCTGGGGATTCCTCCGAACAGGTTGGCAAAAAGTAATCATTGAATCAAACATACAAAGAACACATCTAAAACAAGTTGGAAAACAATCCAATTGGCTCAGGCAATGATCAACATGATACATAAAACTTTCAACTGATATACCTGGTTGCTGCAGGATCGTGGTCTTGTTTTCTACTTGTGTCCCCAATGACTACGACTTTCTTATCCAGTTCAAATCCATCATTCTGAATAATGAGAAAGCCTATTTTATCAAGGACACCACACATTCAGTAAATACCACCCATAAAAACTCATGCCAGTTAGCTCACGGATATGCAACAAATATATCTTTTCAGTATTGACTCATGCAGAAATAAATTATGAGTGATTTTTTTTTTCCCACCATTGGTAATCAATCATATATATAATCTATGCAACTTTCCTCATCCAGAAGCGAGTAATTTTATACATGTCCTGTAAACTCATCGTATAGTTGCTTGACTCATCTGTGGCTCTAGAACAAGATTTGCACCAAGTCTCAACTTTCTCACTAAGTCTCAACCATACTCATCCATTAGGATGATTTTGAAGCTATTGGGTTTATACAAAGCCTACAAGATTTAGACTTAATAAAATTTACATATCTCACAATATATAAGAGTTTGGACACATCAATTTTTTAGTATTTTGTAACATATCTTAGACCAAGAGATTTCATTATGAATTTTGTAATATATAAATTTTCTTTCATTTATTTCCCTTACAGTAACATGTTTTTAGTCTATTCAATAATACTATCATAACTGACCTCACTTAACTCTAACTTGATAATAAACACTTATACAATAACCTATAATTTACACAAATAAGCTGTGTGCCCATTCCATATGTGTGCTTTTACTGTAAGTTGTAAACTACTAAATTCACTATCTTGGGTATTGTTAGGATTGCAAGATGTTTGCTTTTGCAGATAATTTATGTCAGCTCCGACAGACAATACAACAATAAAAAAAATTTGTGGAGGAATCTTGGAGAATAATACATCATTGTAATGGACTTCCATTAGCCCTTTGTGCTATTGGTTCTTCATTATTTGGTAAAAGTAGGAAAGTATGGGAAATCGCATCACTTGAAATGGAAGTGATTCCAAATTGTCAAGTTCAAAAGGTTCTTGCAAAAAGCTCCAACTCTTCTGATGATGATTATCAAAAGAACTTATTCCTTGATATTGCTTGTTTATTTAATGGAATGGATAAAGATCATGCAGTTAGGACACTTGATGGGCTCGGTATAGGTGCAATATTTAGGATTGACTATCTCATCGACTGATGTCTTGTAGAAATTGTTAAAATAAAAAATGATAAAAAGTTATAAATGCATCAACCCGTAAGAGATATGGGAATGGAAATTACTCGTCAAGAATCACCCGAATGTCAGAATATGGCATTACATGGAAGCTTTTACAGTTTGAAAGAAACAAGTGTAAGAGTAAGTGGTTCTGTTTTCCTATCTGCATGGTATTTAGGTGTCTTAAAATGTTCATGCTTTTAATTTCTTTTCTCATTTACTTTCAATATTTTGGAAGCATGATGCTGAAAAACTGCGTGGCCTTACCCTGTATATGCATGAATCAGTACAGAAGTTGTCTGTACTGATTCAATGTTTTGCCTGCAACCGCTGCAGGCTTAACTTCTTTCAACAATGTCTTGTTCCTACACTCCTCTCTCAATAGTGGATTTCCGAGTTTTTCTTGGGGGAACAAGTACAAATTGACCGAACAAGTTTGTTTCTTGTCCTCAGCACGGATGCATTTAGAAAGATGCAAAATGAAAAATTTCTCCAGCTAAATTACACAAGTTCTACGGAAGTTATGAACACTTTTCCAAGAATTTGATTTAGTTATGTTGTCATGGATTCCTTTAAAATTTGTCACACTGATTACCGCGACGATCATGTGAAAATAAAATCTTAATACGAAAAAAACAAACATTCAACATTTTATTTTATTTTATTTTCATGGAAAGTAGTTTTGTTTAAAGAATAAATTTAAACGGATCAACAGATTTTGTAATATAAAATCAGTTATGTGAAAAAAAAAAAATTGCTCTTTAAATATCTTATTTATGATAAACTGTATTGTTAATTTCATTTTAAATTACTAAAAATTTATTGATTCGAGCTCTAATGGTTTACTTATAATATTTTTGACTCTAATATCAATAAATATTCAACTACGAATATTTCCAATTTTACCGTTAATAAATATCACGTAGCTGGAAAATAATAATAATAAAATAAATTTATATAAATATTTTATATTAATAAATAAAATAATAAAATAATTTTTTTTATATATTAATACATAAACTTATTTTATTTTATTTTACTTATTTTTATTTTTATTTTTATTTTTTAAATTAAATCTATTTCAGTTTGCATCAGTTGGGCTAGGCTGTACCAGCCAACCACAGCCAGATAGTTTTTACCCGCAAACAAGCGTGAATTGTTAATGCACGCTTGCTACAGTCACCATGGAATTAAATCTTGAATACACAGTGTTGGTGAATTATTTTGCAAAATTGGAGACACTTAGCCTGTGTTTGTTTTCCTCTGTCTTTTTTTTAGTCTCCCCGTATATGCTCTGTTCTTCTCTGCGGATTCTGTGTTTCCTACTTTCACTCCTTCTCCTATTTTCGGTTGTTTTTTTTCCTCTGTCCTCCCCGGGTTTCTACCTCTGTTTCCTTCCCGGGTTCTTTTGGTTTTCCCTTAGTCCCCTGGTTTGTTCCCTTTTCCAGTTCTTCCCTCTGTATTTTTTGGTCTTCTCAAGCAATAACAGCAGTGGCTGCTGAAAATGGAGCTTTTGGAGCTGCCACCGAAGAAGAAGACAAGGGCGTCCCTTTAGTTTTTCACTGATGTTCGTTCTTTCTCTCTGTTTTTCTCTTCAATCTCTTCTCTGTCGTCCCTTGTTTCTCTCCTCTGTTTTTTTTTTTTTATCTTTTATGTTCTTCATTAGCCATCAACTTCTCCTCTTAATTAGATTTTTCTAACTTGATTCTTACTTCATGATGTCAATAGCCATCAACTTGTGGAATTTATTTTCTAACTTTTATCTTCACCAGGTCAAAAGCCGCCAACTCCCGGCACCAAAATTTTCCAAGCATAACTGGTCATGCCTAGACATTCCGACTATCTGCTTCCGGCATTAGCCATGGAAAATTCCTCACGCGGTAACGTTCCATACCATAGAGAGAGAGTGGACTTGTAGGCTTGACTTGTCTTAAAATTACAATCCACCCTTTCTTTCTCAATTTTAAAACCATTCGGAGTTAGCAATTTTAAATGAACTTCAGTCAATTATTTTATTTTTTATTTTAAAAATAATTATTTGATGTTGATCTGATTCAATTTCATTGAGAGTTAGCAAGATTTAGTTAAATTAATATTTTTTTATTTAAATTTCAATTTTATTTATAAAAAAATCTAATTCGAGTTTTTTTATATATGAGAACAAATCATTAAACACCTCGAATTCCATAAATTTTAAATTCTAAATAAAAAAATTTAAATCATTTAAATGAAATACTAATAAAAAAATTATACTAGTTGACTAGTTTATTTAATTTAACCAATTGCTTTGTTTTCCAATTAATTCTTTATAAATCTACTTTACTTTCAACAGATTCAAATGATGCAACGCGAATTACAGGCCCTAGTAAACTTTCCAAGTGAGATATAAAGAGCCTTATCCTCCACGTGCCTTTTTCTTACTGGTGGGTGAAGTAAGAAGAACCGTGTGAGTTGATGGGAGGGATTATGTGTTGTGTGTGTGTGTCTAATGTCCCTTTTGGTAATTATAGCAAGAATTATAGACCCTAGTACACGCGTGATAAATGATTTGAGCAGATTAAATTAAAAAAAAAGGGTCTTCACGCGGAAATGGCCCATACCACAGCGACTTCTGAGGCTTGCTTTCCAACGTAATATTATTTTAGTTTTTTTATAATTATTTTACATATTTTTAAAAAATTATTAAATAACATATTAAAATATTTTTTCTCTTCCACAAATATTATTTTTATATATTTTCTTAAAACCTCAAAACCAACAAAAAAGACCACAAAAAACATAAACCAATTAAATATAATCATATAAAAAAATAACATCAAATTTATTAAATAAATAAAATACTTATTTTTTAAAATATATAATAAAAATTATATTTATACCCTTTAAAATAATATTTTATCAATTTAACTGTTCGAAATAACATTTTCTCTTCCAAGTGCTCTTACAAGTAAAGATTACAGGTACTCTCTCTTATCTCTTTTAGAATCACTTAAATTAATTCACTGTTAGAAACTAATTATTGATGATCTCATCAACCGATTTTGTTGGTTCAGCATAGAGATTTATCATATGTACAGATATTTTTCTGAAAGGGCATGGAGGATTTGATTGCTGGGAAATAACTTGAAAACCGTTTTAAAGATGAAGTAAGATAATAATACATGAATACTTCAGCTTATTGGTGTGCTGTCGATCTTGAACTCTCGACATCAATCCTGCAACTCGTTTTATTTTGTTCAGATCTTTGAAAAGTCTTATCTTTGCTAGACTCGAAATGGCTGCTGGGAAATATCAAGAATCCTACTCTTCACGGTTTCCTAATTGTAAATATCAAGTGTTCTTGAGTTTTAGAGGTGAAGACACCCGCAAGAACTTTACCGATCACCTCTACTGGGCCCTGGTTCAAGCAGGGTTTCACACATTTAGAGATGATGATGAGATTCGGAGAGGAGAGAATATAGAGTTGGAGCTCCAGAAGGCAATACAAGAATCGAAAATATCGATAATCGTGTTCTCCAAAGGCTATGCTTCGTCAAGATGGTGCCTGGATGAACTTGTAATGATCATGGAACGTAAGAGGAATGCTGACTGCATAGTTTTCCCAGTATTCTATCATGTGGATCCATCTGAAGTCAGAAATCAAACTGGGAGCTTCGCTACAGCATTTGTGGAACATGAAAAGCACTACAAGGATGAGGTGGAGCTGGTGAATGGGTGGAGGATTGCTTTGAAGGAAGTTGCAAATTTAGCTGGAATGGATTTAGGGGATGGGTAAGTTATATCTAGAATGCTGGTCGTGAACTCTTAATTTCTTTCAGTTAAGTGTACTGATGAGAAAACATATAACAAAAAAAAAATACTTATAATTTATTCTTCTTCTTCTTTTTTGGATCATGATTTGGTTTTAATAGGTGGTAATAACACACCTACAACTTTAACTATCAATCATGGACGAAACCCGGTTTAATTTCTTAGCTAAATGTTGTTTATTTCTATCCTTTATAGAGAGCCTACTAATTATCTCACGTTGTATCTTACTTTTTGATGTAGGTACGAGGCACAGTTTGTCCAATCTATTATGGAGAATGTCTCAAAGAATTTGGATCCAAAAATATTTTATGTCCCCCTTCATTTCATTGGAAGAGACGCTTTAGTACAAGATATCAACTCATGGTTGCAAGATGGATCCCATGGTGCTGCCATTGCTTTACTTTATGGAATTGGTGGAGTTGGAAAGACAGCCATAGCTAAGAGTGTTTTTAACCAGAACTATTATAAATTTGAAGGAAAGAGCTTTCTATCAAATTTTAGGTCAAAGGATATAGTTTGTCTACAGAGGCAACTTCTTTTCGACATCCTAAACAAGACTGTTGAGATAAATGATCCTGATGAAGGAATTCTGAAAATTAAGGATGCATTATGTTGCAGAAGAACTCTTATTGTTCTAGATGATGTGGACAAAAGGGACCAATTCAATAAAATCAGTGTCATGCAAAATTGGCTTTGTAAAGGAAGTAAAATCATTTTAACAACCAGAAATAAGGGTCTGTTTTCAGCTAATGATATTCAGTGGATCGGGTACAAAGTTGAACTGCTAGATGATGAAAAATCACTTGAGCTTTTCAGTTGGAATGCCTTTGGACAAGCTAACCCTGTTGATGGTTTTGTGGAAGACTCTTGGAGAATAGTACATCATTGTAATGGACTTCCATTAGCTCTTGGAGTTATTGGCTCTTCATTGTCCGGAAAAGAAAGAGAGATATGGGAAAGCGCATTACAACAAATGGAAGTGATTCCTAATTTTGAAGTTCATAAGGTTCTTCGAATAAGTTACGACTTTCTTGATGGTGATTATCCGAAGAACTTATTCCTTGATATCGCATGTTTCTTCAATGGAATGGATGTGGATGATGCAGTTAGGATACTGGATGGGCTTGATAAAGGTGCAAGATTTGGGATTGACAATCTCATCGATAGATGTCTTATTGAAATCAACGGTGATCAAAGGTTGTGGATGCATCAACTAGTAAGAGATATGGGTAGGGAAATTGCTCGTCAAGAATCACCCAAATGTCAAAGAATATGGCATCATGGGGATGCTTTTACAGTTTTGAAAGGAACTACTGTAAGTAGCCGAATTTTTTAAATGTCTACTTAAATGGTTTGTGGTGCCTTGACATATTCATTCATCTACTTTCCTTTCTCATGTACTTTTAATATTATTATGCAGGATGTTGAAAAATTGCGTGGCCTTACCATTGATATGCATGCATTAATGGAAGATAATTATGCAGAAGTTGTCTGTACTGATTCAATGGTTTGTCGCAAGCGCCGCAGGCTTAACTTCTTTCAACAATGGCTTTCTGATTTTTCTGATGGGGGAAAATTACAAACTAGCCAAACAAGTTTGTTTCCCATCCTCAGCACGGATACTTTTACAAAGATGCCAGATGTAAAATTTCTCCAACTAAACTACACTAATTTTCATGGAAGTTTTGAGCACTTTCCCAAGAATTTGAGATGGTTATGTTGGCATGGATTGTCTTGGAGCTCCATACCAAATCACATATGCTTGGAGAAGCTGGTGGTTCTTGATCTATCCAGAAGTTGTCTAGTTGATGCTTGGAAGGGCAAACCGGTATGTATCAAGTCTCTCTGTAGCTATCTCTCTCGTTTTCAATTGATAACAACTAAATTCATGTATTTTCACAGTTTCTTCCAAAATTAAAAATTCTTGATCTCCGTCACTCTCGTGATCTCATTAGAACCCCAGACTTCTCGGGTCTCCCAGCCCTTGAAAAGCTAATACTTGAAGACTGCATTCGTTTGGTTCAAATTCACGAATCTATTGGTGATTTACAAAGATTGTTGATCTTAAATGTAAGAAATTGTACAAGTCTTATGGAGCTTCCAGAAGAAATGAGTAGAATGAATTCACTTCAAGAGCTGGTTTTAGATGGTTGCTCAAATCTTAACAGCCTGAATATGGAGTTAGAGCATCATCAGGGGCGCAAGTTGCTTCAAAGTGATGGAATTGTTGCATCATTCATTACATCTCTTCCACTGAAGCTATTCTTTGCCTTTAGGTTTTCAACGAGGAAAATGTTGAGATTTACCTTGTTTTCACTGCCATGCTTCTTGGAGAGTCTAGATTTAAGTGGAACTCCAATTCGTTTTCTTCCAGAAAGCATCAAGGATCTTGGTCTACTCAGAGCCCTATATTTAAGAAATTGCAAAATGCTTCAGGCACTCCCAGAGCTTCCATCCCATTTGGATTCGTTAGATGTGTCCTTTTGCTATTCACTGCCACACATTGTAAATCCAGATCACTTAGTCAAGTTCCAAGATCGGATGAAGCAAGAATTGATCCAAAAGTTTGACTCGCACATGCTCAGACTATTGGAAACGGTTAGTGCTCAAATACAGCCATCGAGATTTAAGGTCCTCCCTCACCCATTTACTGTTTTCGAAATCTACATTTTAATATTTGTCTTTTGCTCATTTTATAGACATTGTTTTGGTGGTACAGCTAGCATTGTATAGAAGCGCATTCAGCCTTGTCGCATATGCATTTGATGAAGATGAGATGTTAAGGGGGTTTCATGAGGAGCAAGAAGAGGATAAATGGCTAATTCAGAATGAGTTTGTAGGTAACTTTTCATTCAAAATGTCCTCGCCTCCTCCTGCGCACCAGATATGCGGCTTTAATCTGTTCATAAGTTGTGCGACGTCAGCATACCGTGGCTTTAGTAATGTTTATATTGAAATCAGAAACAATACCAGTGGTCGTTCCTTGCTCTGTCGAGCCTTTGTCTTCCCTATGAGGTACGCGCGTGGTGTTCGTGAAATCCAATCGCTATTGCACACGAAATTAGGGGTCGGTGATCCTACATTCGAAAATGGTGATGACATGAGTGTTTCAGTGCGTCCACATAGTCCAGCTATCCAAATAAAGGCGATTGGTGTCCAATGGTTGCATGAAGAGGAAGGAAATGATGATGATATCCAATCAAAGGATGGTGACGCACACGTTGCCAAAGTAGAAATAGCTTCTCGTGTTTTTAGAAATTATTATTGTGGTTACCATGGTAAATACAGTCATCGCAATTTAACTTATTGGAAATTTTCAAAGAAGGGTGTAGAATCGTAAAATGAAAAAAAGCTTCCTCCTTTCTTTCTTTTTGAAATAGTTTTTGATTTTTTTTTCTTGAAAAGCTTATCATGAAAAGAGTTTTGTATCTCTAGTAATCTTCCTCCTTTCTTTCTCTAGCATGAGATATTTTATTTATAAATATTTGTAAGGGCTTTCATAGACTCTAAATTAATATAGATATTTTTATTCTAAAAATAAAATATAATAATCATCAAAATTAGAAATTTAAAAATTAATTTTGATTGAAAATTATCAAATTAAAAGATAGAAAAAGTGAAAATGTAAAATAGTCTATAGTAGCCAACAACTTTGACTGCCTATGAGACTCTTTCTTTTCATAAAAAAAAACAATTCCTTTGAGATCTTGGTTTGAAAGTCGTTATCCTTCATCAAAAGATGCAATTTGTTCATGATTTCGATTAATGATCGATGCAATTGAATCAGTTTTCATATACCAGCACTGCATTGTCACCCATCACCTCAAACATTATAACCCTTTTTTTATCAACATTATGAGGATCTTGGAATGTGTTTTCATTTCCCTGGTTTTTGACAGCAACTGTTGTTCTAGGAGACGCGAAAGCCACAAAGTTCTAACCACTTCGACTTTTTAATGGTTGCCTGTTGGAGCTATATCATGGGATGCTCTGTTGGCAGTGATGGAGGTATTCAAAGCTCGACCTATGTTGCACATACACAACGTTAGCTTCTGTAGATTTTCTAACTTCACAGGGGTGAAGGCAAAGGGAGGAATAAAAACATGCTCCGATCTGATTCTCTTCAAGTTGGATACAGAACCAAGGAGAAGGACATTATTTAATTCTGTTGGGTTCTCCATTCTCTGAGCCCTGGTGAGGTGTGGTTCTTTCTTCGAACATTAAGAACCAAGACCTTAGCTTCAAGTGCTTGTATGAAGCACCAACTTGATGAGAAGTACTTTTCATGCGCAAACAATGTCCCATTACATATTATGCGAAAGAACAGGCGAAAAGAAGATAAACAAGTTAACTATAGCTCCCATGCACCTGCACATGTGACTGGATGGAAGTAAATAGACATGAACCACCTGTGGAGATCACCAAGAGACGGCAACCAATTGTGTGGATTGTGGAAGTGCTGCAGATTTAAAACAACAGATTTGTGGAAGTTACTTTTTGATCGGTACAAGTAAAGGACTCATTCCATGAACAATGTTTGGAGAACCCAAAATAAGAAATTTTTTGGGTCTTTCACATCTGTCTCCAGAGAAGCACGCAGGCACTTGTTGAGGGGGATCAACAAATGGGTGAACGGAGACCCTTGCCACCACTCTCTTGTGTTGATGATCCTGCCACTTCCGTCTCTTTCTTTCTTCCATTTATTGTGTATGGGACTTTGCTTGCTAAATTATTATGCCTAAACAACAAGACATCATCTTCCAACTCCATACCCAAATACTCGCCCTCTAGCAAAGAATCCAAAACACATCACCACACCCACCAGACCACCTTGCAATGAATGAATATATGACTCAGATTCGGCAGCTTCACTTCACAGCACCTGGATAAACAATTCACGTTATAGCATACTGGGCGAGCAATTACCCGGCGAGTACTAAGTGATCTGGCTACAATAGGCCTAAGCTCCTCCCCAATCGAGCATTCTTGAGGGATGTTGCTGGAAACACAACCGTAACCCCCAGGTGGTCTAAATGTAGAGAAAGGATAGTCAGGCTGAATAATTTAAAATTGTGAGCTACAATCTCAACAGGTGTATTTCTCATTATCATCCCTGTTCAAACACATCCCCATCGTGACCCCGTTTTATCAGAAACATCGCAGAGAACTTTTCAGTGATAGGAAGACAAATATGCAATCCTTAACTAATTAAGTTGTTTATGTATTGGATGTTTTATTGTATAATATGAAAATCATGTCCTTGCGTTAGATAATGTTTGTTGTTAATTAATTTTCATTAGAGCATCCTATTAATATGTTAAGCAAAAAAAAAAAAAATCCTGAATTTTCATGTTAAATTGAGAATTTGTCCTGGAATAAAAATGCGGATGTTACAACTTCTCTTTTTTTTCTTTCTCTCTCTTCCTCTTCTACTATTTATCTCGCTAACCAAACCTCCCACTCTTTCTTTCTCTTCTCTCTCTCGTTCTCTCCTCGAGCACCGACCCTCTTTTCTCTAACAGGTATGGCTTCTCCTTCTCTTTTTCCCTCGGTTTGTTTAATTAACTCATAACATGTCATTTTTTTTAATTCTCAGATTAACCCACAACTAATATAAGGTAAGAATTCACCTATTTCTTCTCTAAGTTTTGTGTGTGTTTATTTTATTTTTTTATGTTCTTAATTGTTTGAATTTTTTTTATATGAGAAAAATTTGTTAAATTTTAGTTTTTCTTCAATTAAATTAAAAAATAAAAAACCTAATTGAACTTTAAAAAGGTTTAAGTGGCTTCATTAGGAGCTAAAATGAAAGAAAAATAAAGTTTAGAAATCAATTTGTTAGAAATTAGAAGAATCAATAAGCCTAGGGACTTAATTGAAATTTGGTTTATGTTAATTAATGCAACTAGAGACTTAATTGAAGAAAAAACAAAGTTTGAGAATCAATTTGTGTCATGATTGCAATAATTAAAGGTTTAAAGACTAAAATGAATGGGTGTTGAGGTTTTGAGAGGCAAATTAATTTAATCAAGGGTGAAATAAAAAAAATTAAAAATATAAAAAGGCAATTAAGGATGAAATTAAAGAATATTAAGATCAAGGACCATACTGTAAAAGACACTAAGAGCTCAATCAAATAAATCAAGTGGCATAATTGAAAAGATTATTAAAGATTGTGACCAATTGAGGGTTTGTTTGTGAATAAATAAGAAAATAGGGATCAAAATTGACTTTCACTTATTAATTTTTTTTAGGTCATTAGTTCATAATTAAAGCCCCGTTTGTTTGCTAGAAAATAGTTTTCATTTTGGAAAGTGAATTCTAGAAAAATGAATTATTTTTCAATATTTGGTAATGTAATAGAAAATAAGCTGAATGTTTTATACAAGACAGCTGAGACAATTACCTACAACTTTCATGTTTTTGAATGACTCCAATTTTGACGTTATCAATGACGTTTTGGGAAGATAAGAAAAGATAAGGATTGTCACAAAGTCAAGAGTTAGCCACCCACTTATCAATTAGTCATCAAATTAATAGTTCCTAATTTTGGCCTATAAAAGAAGGCATTTGCCAAATATTTAGGCATCTTGGTTTTCAGATCAAGATCATGCTTTTGCTTTCTCTCTTTGTATTTTTTGTAATGTTTATGTTTTGCTTTCATTAATATCAAGTTTATACCTTTCATTTACTTAGTTAACTTTTATCTTATTTATGTTCTTATTTAGTTTAGTTATTTTTCTTTCTTTCATTATGTCTAGCTAAGTTTATTATGTCAAGGTGAAAAGGTTACTCTAATGGTGTAAGAATAAATATAGTGTAAACTTAATATGAACTTTAATGTTTGATACTAACATGTTTTGTATTTGTTATCTTGTTAAATGACTAATCTTGATTTATGTTGTATAACACTTGGTACAACAAATGCTTGGCACTTTCATAGCCCATACTGTATGGTATAACCGACACCTGAGCTATGAAAGGAACTTGATTTGTTGTTAACATAAGTTATAATCATGAATGCTTGACGAGATTTACAAGTATTAGCATTAATCAAATAAGATGACTAATATAATCATGTTAGTAATCTATAATCTGATTGGAACCTCCTTTGTGTGTGGTTTCCAATTGAATAATAAAATGTATACTATACTTGTTTGACATACCATTAGTGGAACCTCTAACCTTGATATTTGTTATTATCATTGTTTAATCCTTACATTAATATTCCATCTCAAAGTTCTCATCTTTTTCTTATTCTTCTACTTCTTTATTATTATTATTATTATTATTATTGTTATTATTATTGTTATTATTAATATTATTGTTGTTGTTGTTGTTGTTGTTGTTGTTGTTGTTGTTGTTGTTGTTTATTATTATTATTATTATTACTATTATTATTAGTATTATTATTGCTTCTATTATTATTGTTGTTGTTTATAATTTGTACAATTAACCTCTTTGTGATTCAACCCGGATCTTGCCGGGTTATTTATTACTTCGACACTCCTGCACTTGAGAGAAGACATCAATCTTTTAGTCGTATCAAGTTTTTGGCACCGTTGCCGGGGAGGTAAGTTCTTGTATAAATTATAGTAGTTATTTTATTTTCTTTTTTCACTTTTCTTGTATATAACTTTGCTTCTTTTCTCTTATTTCTTCTTCTTTTGTTTTCTTCTTCCTTTTATTCTATTCCTACACGTGCATGAGAGTGTGGTCACGTACATCAAGTGGTAGACTTTGTAGGATATCCTCATCATTTTCAGAAAATATGGCCGAAGAAGATAATCTATCACTTCATAATGAGAATAATGAGAATAATGAGAATAACCGTGTTAGAACACTTAGAGACCACATGAATCCCACAAGAACAAGTGCACCATCATGCATAGTTTTTTCTCTAGATGCATCTCATTTTAATTTTAAGTCAGGTATTATTCAACTTTTACCTTCTTTTCATGGCTTAGAATTGGAAAATCCATACTTGCATTTAAGGGAATTTGAGGAGGTCTGCAACACATATAATAATTTAAATTGTAACATGAACACCATTAGATTAAAGCTTTTTCCTTTTTTATTAAAAGATAAAGCTAAAACATGGCTACAAAATTTGAGACCAGGATCCATTCGTGCTTGGGATGAAATGCAACAACAGTTTTTGAAGAAGTTTTTCCCATCTCACAGAACAAACTCTTCAAAAGATAAATCACTACTTTCACTCAAAAACCAGGAGAAACATTTTACCAAAGTTGGGATAGGTATCGAGACTTGCTTAGTACTTGCCCTCATCATGGTTTTGAAACATGGAGATTGGTTTCACATTTCTATGAAGGGATAACACCTAAAG